AGGCCAGATGGCAGAAACTAATATGCCAGGAAGCTGACAAACTTACGCAGATCCCGTGGAAGAAATTTAAGACTATCAGACCGATTAAAATCAGAAGCCTTCAATGGCTTATCACATACGCTGCGCTGCCAGTGAACCAATGGCTGCATACACGACGTCACAAAAACGATCCCACCAGCTCGGACCTATGCTCCGTGTGTGCAGAAGGGGCACAAGAAGATGTGGTACACTGTCTAATTCAATGTAGCGAGGCGACGGATTACTGGATACGAGCCTCAGCCCTCTGGGACTCCCTTTTCCATGTCCCCTTCCCCGAATATCCCATCCAAATCCTTCTCTGGACTAACATTCCTGACCAGCTCAAGAAGACAGAAAGATTATGGTTCGGCCTGATCAGGAAGGTGACGTTATGGATCATTTGGAAAGAGAGATGCTGCAGATCCATCGAAGGGTTGTCCAACCCAAGAGAGAAGGTATGGGTGGAGACGAGAACCATGCTACAGGCTGAAATTCTCTGCAGATGGCAGAAGTTAAAGCAGGCAATGCCTGAAGACGAGGACCTGCGAGAAAAGACTAGGAAAAGTTCAACAGGCTGTGGTTAGTGGACGGTAAGGTGGCTGAGCTACGGAACGACCGGATTTACTGGAAAGACTGGCACAATTCAGAGACAGGCAGGAGAACCCAGACTGTGCCTGCAACAGACAGGCAGCTGAGTTGAAGGGAGTAAGGGATACCAGGCACCAGGAACGAGAGCCAAGAGGAGAGGTAAGGAGGATTAACATTGGTGTTGGGAGGAGGGGACCTAGGTCTGCCATGGACGCTGTAAAACGGATCCCCGTCGGACAAGGGAGAGGGCAACAAGAGCTGATACACTTGCTGACTCAGGACAGAGCAGATACCTCCCCACATCAACGAGGGACAGGTTTACACACCTTACAACAGGAATGACAGAACGCAAAGAGTACCCTTGGTTCACAGTCATCAGGTTGTCTCTAGAAGAGGTACAACAGAGAAAGGTTATTACGATGAAGAATGAGGGAGGGTTTAGGGTTTTAGGGTCTTAATCATCGGGTAACGGCTCAGGGGCTTTAGGGTCTAAGGGTTCTTGGCCAGTTGAAACAGTTTAAAACAAACAATCGTTGGCAGATCGTAACTGCTCAAGATGGACGGAGCTAGGGCTGGACTGCACCAGAGGAAACAGGGTGGAGGGCGATTGGTAGATATCAAGGGGTGGATATGAAAAAGGGAATTGAGTTATATGCATGATCAGACAATGTGGGGGTTCAGGGCATGTTGAGGGACAGAAGGGTTGTTCAAGGTGCTAGACCCTTTCTTGGTGTTCGGGCCCTAAATGGCAGGTTTTGTGCAACAGACCTGAGAGGAAAGGGTATAGCACGGCAAGCTGACAGTAAATCCTCCATGCAGATGGAGTAATCAATGCTGATCAGGGGTCCTTCGGCCGAACGGAAGGAAGCGTGTGTTTGTAATTATGATGTACTACTCTATTGACTTGCCGGTGGAATATGAACCGGACTGATGCTCCCCAGAATGGAAAAGGAGGCGGGGCCATGAGGTCCTGTATTGGTTTTTTTTTCTTTAAAAAAAAAAAAAAAAAGAACATCACAAGGGAAAAGGCAATATAAACAATTTTGGGCTAAAAAAAAATAAAAATCATTCCATGTTTTAGTGAGCTTCATTTTGTTTATATAGTCAACAAGATGACAACAACTTCAGTTCCAGAAAAAGAAAAAAAAAAAAAAAAAAAGACAAACACTTCAGTTCCAAGTGTGAACGAGGATGGGCCCAAGAAAATTCATTAGGTTAGGTGCCATCCATCTGTGGGAATGAAGTTGGGCCCAATTAATGTTTGGCCCAAAGAATTTTGGATCCGATTGAATTTGGGCCCAGATAGGGAAAAAGCCACAGAGGATTTTGGGCCCAAACTTGATTGGGCCCAGATGGAGAAAAAAAGCCACAGAGGATATGTTTTGTTGGGCCCAATTAATGTTGGGCCCAAAGAATTTGGACCCGATTGATTTTGGGCCCAGATAGGGGGAAAAAAAGCCACTGAGGATTTTGGGCCCAATCAAGTTTGGGCCCAAATGCGGAAAAAGCCACAGCAGATCTGTTTTGTGGCCGGGCCAGTTGGACGGACTCATAAATCAAAGAGTCTGCCACTAGGTGGGTAGGGATTAGACTCCGGTGGTGCCCTGTTGGTGGTGCCAAGTTAGTATGAATCAATCCAGTTTTGGGACCAGATTCGCGGGTCAACCCAATCAAAAACTCCACTGCTTTAATCGCCGCCACCTTGTGCTCCGGCAAAGACCGTGGGTACAATATGCCCAGCGGATTTCCCCCTGCTGAAGTATAGGAAACTGGCCCAGCGCAATGTTTATGCTTAGTATGAATGTAGGCAGTTTTGGGACTAGATTCATGCTTCCGAGGAGCCTCTGCTCTTTTTAAGCTCAGCCGGTTCGGTCAACTCTTCAGTGGTCCAATGTTTACGCTTAGCTAATATGAACCTAGGCGGGTTTTGGCACTAGATTCATGCTTCTGCAAAGCCTGTCCTTGTGCCACAAAGTGCCCCACACTGTTCCCATGATTCAAGCAGCTGAGTCAATCTTTTTTTTTTTTTTTTTTTTTTTTTTTTTTTTTTTTTTTTTTTTTTTTTTTTTTTTTTTTTTTTTTTTTTTTTTTTTTGTTGTATCTGCTGGAAATGGCAGCTGAGTCAATCTTTCATCCACCAGTCCATTAGGATCTATTTTGACAAACCAAAATTGAAAATTCCCATGTGTAGCGGACCTCGGGTTGCCCTGTGAGACCAGCCCCTTGGCCTGTTCTCACAGGCCTGTGTTACATTCGGGGTAGGCCAGTCCAGGCCGGTACCTCTGTCGGTACCAGCCAGTCCAGTCCAGTCCCGTCAGTCCGCTGGGGTATACCCCAGCCATTGTCTGTTTTCAGTCTCATTCCTCACTTGCACATTTTGGAGTACGTGCGTTGGAGTCTTGCGTGGGGAGCTGCGTTGTGCCATCTTGCTCCCCCTTCTTCCTCCATCTCCATCTCTGTCACTAGCGGAGCACCACACCTGGTGGGTCCGCTACACCATGTCCCCGACTTGGGTCGGGGCCGGTAGCAAAAGCGGCAGGCCATTTTGAAACGATACAGAGAAAGAAGATTAGCATGGCCCCCGCGCAAGGATGACACGCATAAACCGAGAGACGGTCCAAAAAAAAAAAAAAAAAAAAAAAAAGCGGCGGGCCACTTTGAAAAGGCGTCATTGCAGGCTCGGGAGCCTTTAGAAGGGAGCTTTGTCGACTGAGGCTCGTGTGAAATGGTGATTGAATTGAAATGCCTGAGCCAAT